CGAATAGTGAGATTGACCGTCACATTATAACGCCCCCACGGCTGAAAGGGTACGCATGTTTGGTGTGACAGGGATTCGAAACCGCGACCCTCAGATTGCGAGTCGAGTGCCTTAACCACCTGGCCATGCCGGGCCTCGGCCAGTTCTACACACGTTGTTTGAAATCAAAAATTAGTCATGGCACGATCTCAAAATAACTGCTCACCAAAGGCAACGAATAGTAAATACATCAATGGAATTATATTACGAGTAGAACTTTGAAAACAAACACTTAGTGATTTCTGAATGTGTAAAACAGCATCCAATAAAACCGGCAAAGGTTTAGGATTTGAAATTTCTTTCAAAATTATTAACTTTGACTGTATTTTCTGTGAATGTTTTCAGTTTGTCACAAATGATATTCGATTTTCTGTGTTGAAAGGATAAATCATCCAGTGATAACTGTCACATTAAACACATATGCGTATTTTACAAATCAAGAACCAATCACTCTGGTATATAAGATTGTAAAGCCCAAACCTTGAGGGACGCAGGGTACTAATGTATTGGAAATCGAAATTTCCTACATGCATTCAATATTACCACGTGTAAAGTTGATTTAAATAATGTGCAACATTAATTTAGCGCTGTTACAACTTCTAGCTAAATGTTACCGGTTATCTGAGCAATTTAAATATTTATTGTTGTCAGCCCATCATATATATGATAGTATAACTAAAACCCCTTTGGATTACAGATATCTATATTCATACTGATACACCGTGGATAAACCGTCAGCTTTCAAAGGGGAGTCATAATTTTGCTAATATATTTTACAATAAAATATTGCAAATTTATAAAAATGCAATGACTTAACAAGTCTTTGCGTTTTTGTCATATTAAAGTTTCTGAGTGCGTTTTGAAATAGCCAAAGATACGATTTAAAAACGAAAACTAGATCATTAGTAGTGTTTCATGTACAGTTAAAGTCTGTGTGATCTTTCGTATCAGATTTCGTATACACAATTCGAACTTTTCAAGGTTTTGGTAAGTTGTGTTATTTCACTGCCTTTTATACCTATATGACTTAATAAAATATTTTACCCTTCGTATAAGATATCAACATGTTTAGTTACCTTATACTGCTTTGTAAGTTTTGAGATGTCAGTTGTTAATAATTGGAATAAAGGTGTTAAACGAGATCATCGCACTTTTTACTACTTTTCCATAAGAGTTATTAAATAAGAAGCAACTTTACTTAAAAGAGTTAAAAACTGTTTTCTTGTAGATTTCTAATCAACCACTTAATTATTATATAAAGAATTTCCAGCTTCAAATATGTTAGATTCAGATGTATTTCAACTTATTTACTTTTTTTCGAAATGGAAAGCATTTACGATATACCTTAGTGTTTAAAATGATTATTGAATTTGACAATATGCAAATCCACATTCACTAATGAATTTAAATATCTTACTTTTTAATAATTTTCCTAAAATTTTGCTTTTGGTAATAAAATCTCTTGTATCAAAAGAAAATGGTAAATCGAACAGAATATATTTGACAAGAAATATGTATTTCTATTTGACGGTCTTTCCCTTTTTATTCAGTGTTGTTCTTTACTGTCTTTATAAAGACGGTATTTCAGAGCTCTTAAAGTATGACAACATGAGTGATATGTGCTTACTGTTTCCGAAGAATGCCATCTTTTTAACTGAACACCAATATTAAATCGTCGAGAGTTCTTAAATTTTTAATTATATTTATTTATATATATTTATTTATTTTTGGCCCGGCATGGCCAGGTGGTTAGGACACTCGACTCGCAATCTGAGGGTCGCAGGTTCGAATCCCTGTCACACCAAACATGCTCGCCCTTTCAGCCGTGGGGGCGTTATAATGTGACGGTCAATCC